GTGCAGATACATTCAACGGTTACCTGACCCTACAGGAACATATTTTTTGGAATTGTTTTGGGAGCTGCTGCATGGACAAAATAAATGTTCCAAGTTGCTCAGCGTCCAAGCCAACGAAGCAGATCTTGTCTGGCGCTAGCTCTCGTTGCTCTTCCAGTCGTGAATCGAGACGCCTTTGTTCTGCATCGTCCCTGTCGATATCTGACAAACTTACTAGTGAAGGAGTCATTCATCGCTCAACAATATCCACTCGAGTCGTCGTTATTCTCATCAGCGCTGCTTTCTTCTACACGAAGTCTGCAGCCTCGCCGAGTCGCTTTGCGGCAAGAGAGAGTCGTCTTCTGGAGCTCCGCGGCTTTCACCTGACTCCCTTGATGAGTAATCGCCATCCCAGTCATCACCAAAAAATGTTGTGTCGTGATTGGCGTCAACGACGATCGATGCGCGTGCGATGTTTGCGCCCCGCGATCGTACCTATTCACCAGCCAAGCTCAGGTACGTGGGGTTTCCCAGCCATGTCTCCTCACTTGCCTGGGGCTTGCCTAGCTAGCTAGTCACTGACAAACAAACAAACACGGGCTTGTCAGGCGGAAAGAAAGACTAGTGACAAGAAAGACAGAAAGGTGATGGGTAGTTGTTAGGTCCGCGACTTTTCTTTCGCTCGACTTCAACGTCACTTTTTGATCAACTTGATATCAAACGCAAGTGATGGTTTTCGCTGATCCGGGCTCAAATAATAAACCGACACCACGTTCCACATGCACAACAGCAAAAGGAACCACAGCAGAACAGAAAAAACGAAAACCAACCGTCAACATACAGCCGACGCTCTAAAATAAAATCTGGGCCACGACACAGGGCCAAACAAAAAAACTAGAGCCGACGCTCTACAACCAGGCTACGCCACACAAGGCCAACCGAAACACGGGAGCCGAAGCTCCAACAAAATAATAACATGCGCACACCCGCACCAAATATATCTACAACAAAAACAATGGAGAACAACAGAACGAATAGAAGAGCAACAGACCGACAACAACCAAACTGAAACAACACAGCAACAAGCAACGAACTGAACAGAGAGAGAACAACACAGCGAGCAAGACAACAAGACGAACAACAAGGACGACACACAGTCGGTGATGCCAGACTCGTCCACTGTCCTCTGGCGAGCCACAGCCACACGCTCCGTCGCGGTTCCTGCCGTCTCAGGCTCCAGCCCACAGTTCTAGCCCACCACCTTCTCTGCCTCCTCTCCGCATCGCCTTCCGCTTCCACCAGCTCCTCATCTCTCCTGATCACCTCCATCCTCACGCTTACTCTCTAGTTGTACTATTGTTGTTGACGACGACGAACAGGCTCATGACAAACTTACTCATCCTCTGCGTCCCGGGTTTCGGCACCACGTTGTAACGGAATCTCAGCCTTTCCGTTCCCCAAGACGCAGGACACAAAGGACAAGACAAGTTTGTTACATTATTTATATTGACAAGACGGAAAGCAAACTGCTCTGACAGAGACGAACAAGAAGACTGAAAAAAAGGACTCTCGACTACAAAATCGCGCATGCTCATATCACACATGCACGCGACTAGACGAGACAGTTTGGGGAATGCCATCACACAGGAAACAACACAATCATCATTTCACAACACTCTCTCTCACACTCTCTCTCTCACACTCTCTCTCACACTCTCTCTCTATCTCACACTCTCTACTCACACTCACACACTCTCTCACACTCACACACTCACTCTCTCTCACACTCACACACACACACTCTCTCTCACCCTCACACACTCTCTCACACTCGCTCTCTCTCACACACTCACACACACTCTCTCTCTCTCACACACACTCTCTCTCACACTCACACTCTCTCTCACATTTACACACTCTCTCTCTCTTACTCTATCTCTCACACTCACACACTCTCTCACACTCACTCTCTCTCTCTCTCACAATCACACACACTCTCTCTCTCTCACAATCACACACACTCTCTCTCACACTCTCTCTCTCTCACATTTACACACTCTCTCTCACACATTCACACACTCACTCTCTCGCACTCCCACACTCTCTCTCTCTCACACTCACACACTCTCTCTCTCTATCACACTCACACACTCTCTCTCACACACTCACACACTCTCTCTCTCACACACTCACACACTCTCTCTCTCACACACTCACACACTATCTCTCACTCACACACTCTCTCTCTCTCTCACACTCACACACTCTCTCTCTCTCACACACTCACACACACTCTCTCTCACACTCTCTCACTCTCTCTCAAAACTCTCTCTCTCTCTCACATTCTCTCTCACACTCTCTATATCACACTCGCACACTCTCTTACACTCACACTCTCTCTCTCCCACACTCACACTCACACACACTCTCTCTCTCACACTCACACACACTCTCTCTCTAACATTTACACACTCTCTATCTCTCACACTCACACACTCTCTCTCACACTCACTCTCTCTCTCTCACAATCACACACACTCTCTCTCTCTCACAATCACACACACTCTCTCTCTCTCACACTCTCTCTCTCTCTCTCTCACATTTACACACTCTCTCTCACACATTCACACACTCTCTCTCACACACTCCCACACTCTCTCTCTCTCTCTCTCACACTCACACTCTCTCTCTCTCTCTCTCTCTATCACACTCACACACTCTCTCTCACACACTCACACACTCTCTCTCACACACTCACACACTATCTCTCACTCACACACTCTCTCTCTCTCTCTCACACTCACACACTCTCTCTCTCACACACTCACACACACTCTCTCTCACACTCTCTCACTATCTCTCAAAACTCTCTCTCTCACCCTCTCTCTCACACTCTCTATATCACACTCGCACACTCTCTTACACTCACACTCACACACACTCTCTCTCTTACACTCACACACACTCTCTCTCTCTCTCTCTCTCTCTCTCTCTAACATTTACACACTCTCTCTCACACATTCACACACTCACTCTCTCACTGACACACTCACACACTATCTCTCTCACTGCCACACTCACACAGTATCTCTCTCACACTCACACACTCTCTCTCACACTCACACACTCTCTCTCACACTCACACACTCTCTCTCACACTCACACACTCTCTCTCACACTCACACACTCTTTCTCCCACTGTCTCTCTCTCCCACTGTCTCTCCCACTCTCTCTCCCTCTCTCACACACACACACTCTCTCGCTCTCTCTCGCTCTCGCGCACTCTCTCGCGCGCGCTCTCTCTGTCTCTCTCTTGCGCTCTCTCTCTCTCGCGCGCTCTCTCTCTCTCGCGCGCTCTCTCTCGCGGGCGCTCTCGCCCACTCGCTCTCGCGTGCGCTCTCTCTCGCGCGTTCTCTCTCGCTCTCTCTCGCTCTCTCTCTCACTCGCTTTCTCACACAGACACTCTCACGTGCACTCTCTTGCATGCAATATCACCTATTTCTGTCACACCTCTCTTCGTCGCTCTCTCCCTCCCTCCCTCTGCTCTTGTCGATTTCTCTCTTGTTTCAGATCTCAGTTCACAAATTTATTAGGCTTGTTTCTCACAATCCAGTTCTCTCACTCTCTGCAACTCTCATTTTTGCTATTCATTGCCCTGCTTTTCTCCCGTGATTTCAGAGCAAAGTATGGAGAAACCTAAGCAACCTGAATGCCCACAACTACAATGCAGAATCAGCACCTACAGCCGCCTGCAATGCTGCGTTCCGCGTGGTATCTTGAAGCGAACTCCATCACAATGCTCACCGCATAGAAGCCCTAAGCATGACAAGGCTGCGTTAGATTCTCTTCCAGAGGAATGTGTTGATATCTAGAACGTTGTCTGTTCCTGTGGTATCCCTGCGTAGTGAAGTAGAACAGTTCGCCTCTTTCTCCAATAGTATATTATGATACCATAATGCACGACTATTTTGGTGAAGGAAAATAAACAACAACTATATTTAATGCTTCGAATTATAAATTTGAATTTGTACGTCGTGTTCTTCATTTGAGACTTTGCTTACCGTTTTGCTCTTCTATCCATACTCTGCATTCTCTGCGCCTGCTCTGTTCCTTTCTCCTCTTGCTAGTACCATGTTTTCCTTTTGCTGATTCACTGACTGTCAATTTGTCTAGTTTCAATTGTTTCATCGTCTGCCAGATCGCGGAGGTCGTTTCCTGCATCGTAGCTAACTGTTGCTTTTCGAACACATTTTTGCATAGGCATTTTCACGAGTTGTGTTGACGTTATGCCGTATCAGCTACGCGTCATTATTGCGGATTCAATGTTCACAACTTTACTTGAAATGTCTCAACTCTTGGAGCAGAATTAATTAAGAGTCGAGAAGTTGAAATCGTACGCGCTGCGGTACGCTGGTGCCACAGATGCTGCGTGTATATTATCTACTGTTGTGGACATGGAAATCCAGTCGATTGACCGGGGCCGGCGCCCTCAGAACGTTACGTTGCATGCAGTGCACAATCATGTATTGTTGATCCGTTGCGACCAGCAGCGCATAATGCATGTGTGCGCTGCATACGTAGGGCTGCATGGCCAGTGCCCTGGGGCCGCTAGAGGTGCGACCGGATTTTCATGCCCACGACAGTACCAGCATAAAAATCATTCTTTCCTGGCGGAGGGTGGTAGCTGGCCTCCACATTCCATCAGGTTATGCCTGAGCACACCAACATGTTTTCAGAATAGTTGTTGCGGGACCATTTCAATTATAAGGTAAAGCTTCAATTCCACGAACTTTACACTATTTTCTCCAATACAGAATATTTTGGGGTTTAGCTGTGCTGCTTTTCCACTCGAGTGAGTACATGGCATAAGCGCATTGCGAGAAAAGGTGCAAACAGCAAGTAACCACGCAGTAAAAGCTACAATAGTGCTGTTCATTGAAATCCGGTTGCATGGACATAACTTGCACGCTGTCCACTGTACTGTCCCCGGGGAAAATTGTGATTCCGCGGCCGCGTTTTTTTCCGCGTTTTTTGCGATTTTTTAAAAGACCGCGTTTTCCGCGATTTTCCCACGTTTTTTTGAACATTTTTGTTGCACTACACGTACACACAGTGCACTGTTCGGTCAGCAACGTCTCATCGTGGCGGCTTTTTACTCAAATATGACGAGTGCTTACACCAGAGACTTGTAACTGATTGATTTCACTACATACTCACTGAAAATTGCCGCACATCAATATTATTCACCGCATATTTACCGCAAATTCACCGCAAATTTTGCCATATTATGCCGCGTTTTCCTTGCGTTTTTTGCGATTTTTTTCCGCAATTTTCCCCGGGGACAGACTGTACCTGATTACATCTCAGTGTTCCCTGGTCTAGGGCTGCACAGGGGCCAGCGTATCAGTGACTGGCTTTATTGGATTTCATTGAGCAGCAGGCACGTAGCCTGCATGGCCATGTGTTTCGTGGACCCATAAATGGAAGAGCGCGTATTGATTTCTCAGCTTGGGTTCATATCTGAACATGTATCATGGCTATCCTTCACTGAAAACAGAGCACTTTTTGCCTGTTTTCACTGAAAAAAGAGCACTTTTCAGCATATTTTGAGGGACGCGAAAAGCACTAAGCGCACCTTTGGGAAAGGGCTACCTACGGAGGAACAGCTACGTCTCTGCTGCTGCATTATAAATGTGGAATTCATTTACACGCTCCTGCTCCTGTACTTTTTTGTAGCAGTTGAGCACTCTCGTGTGGGGTAGTGCCTTTGCTGTTTGATTTATGCAGAGCTCATTGACTTGTCAGTTTGAGCACTCGGGCAAGGTACGTTCGGGCCTGGCTTAAATCTTGCTTTGGAAATTAAATTTATTTTTCATTGCTATCAGGTTCGGCGCCATTTTCCCTGTGCTGTGCTGATGAGTCTACAAAGGGTGAAACAGTTCTGTCAGCAGATCGAGTAATTCATTTCCATCTACATGTACATCATGACTTGCACTAGACAATACCACTGTCAACTTATGGTGCTACACAGTACAATGGTGCTCAAGGAAATCCAGTCCAGTGAGTCATCTTTGTGCCCCTGTACCAGCGAAAGTCCCAGTGTTCGCAGGAGTAGCGCTCCGTACTGTGCAAGTAGAATATTCAATTTTACATGGAAAATATTTCGTCCAACTCCAAAGAAAGGCAGTCTGTCTGGTTGAACATTGCGCCCGCGGATATTGAACCGTACCGGAAAGCTATAGAAATAGACCATTCACTTTTAGTCTAGTAACACTTTGGACGAAACCGATGAAGGTAGATTCCAAACGAATAGTTCTGCTTGCACTTTACTTTGATGTACTAGTCTAGTTTGGATTTCAGTTGGTGATACCGTATTAGCCACAGATGCCGTGGAAACTAACTTACTTACCGGTGCGAATACTGAACAGTACTAAGTCTTGATGTCTGGTACTTAGTACTGCCAATGATTACAGGGACCTAACAAGGCCAGGCGGAAACTAGACAACGCAGCACTTTTCGGAGCTCCAGAAGAATTCGCTGGACTGCTATCCCGTCGTTCGCTGTCTCAGTCGCCCTCGAGTCTTGCACAGTCGGTGCTCGCAATACCACGTACATGTTGATCATTCCGTTCAGTTTGGGTGACATCCCTAGGCGTTGGGCTTTCGCTCTTTCCTGGGCAACGTCGACGATATCCGGTAGTGGCATAGCATTACATGTATTAGCAAGACTTTCTAGACGTATAATAAATTTATCCACGTGACTCGCTGAATGGCGTATACCAGCTAAAAGAAGAGAGGAACTCTACCAGTACATGTACTTCAAAAGCTCGAAGTACAAGTATGTGAATATCAGTTACACAACCATTCCACTTGCACAGCGACATGACTTGCAACTGCACCACCACTGCACCAGGGCAAAAACAATTCTGTTGAGATAGTGGTCCTGCAGAGTGCAGACACGTCAGGCAGCTGCTCCACTCCAACAGCTATTTCGTTCCAATCAGGTAGTAGTTGAAATGGACGATAAAGGTGCATGAATGATGTTTTAGGACAAAACTGGCGCATTTTCTACCCAGAAGCGTGACATGCATTAGGCAACTGAGGTGCAAGGTGATAACAGACAGTAACAGACGTGAGGAAGTCAGCGTTCATTGCTGGTAACCTGGTAACGGGTATAATAATTATTCTGGTCCGCATGCAGCGCTAGACATGGTGCGAGAACCGAGACGTGAGCTTTACAATTAAATTTTTAGTTTTTTTACTAGTAGTGTTGTGGAAGTGGAGTACTACAATGCTGCTCAATGAAATCCAGTCACGTCACTCAAGTAAGTTTGCGCCTTGCAGTTGCACCATTTCACAGCCCAGTGACAGTGATTTCATTGAGCAACAGTGCCAACACTGTGGATCTACAATCGATGTAGTAGAAGAGACATACATGGCCATGACTGTGTACATGACTGTACCGGTATAGTATAATGAGATGTTGTCTGATGATTGGTTTTTACCATGAAACTCTGAGTAACAACGAAAACAGCCCTATTTTAGGGGCCGTCCGTGAATATCGAACTTTTTTCACCAAACGAATTGTTTTGGTTTGGACCCAACCCCTCCCTCCCTCCCCTCAGAACGTACAAAATGTTGACATAATACATGCAAAAGTCGCAAGTGTATTGCTGCTCCTATGGCCGTGTACATGTATCAATGTTTTCTGAAACGAAATTGGTCAACCCCCTCCCACCCCATAACGAAATTATTTCGTTTTGTGAAAAAACTTCGATATTTATGGACGACCCCTTACTTCCTTTAGTGTACCTCTTACGTGTATTTGGATGGTACTGTCGTTGACATGGACATCCAATGATCCAGTCGAGTGACCGGGCCGGCGCCCTTAGAGGCCTTAGTGCGTAGACCATGGGCATGGTCGACCTACGGAACGTTTCCTGCAGTGCACAATCAGTCATGCTCATCCGATGCGACCAGCGCGTAGCAAGAGTTTTGCAGTGCGATTTTCATACACCGTTACGTTCGGCCGAGCTCCGAAAATGGCGTGACTGAAATTCGGTGCTAGCTGTCTTTTGCAGTTCGAAAATTCTGGTTTCGTGGCTTTTGCTCGCTGCCAGAAAGAAAGTTCGGAAAGCCTTTTAGCCTATTCTCATGGTGTTGACGAGGAAAAGAACGCATTCTTTCTCTTACTGCAGTATCCTACTTCAAAGCAGTAGCCAGGAGAACCACACACAAATGGGTTCTCTCCAGCCCGCAGTCGTCGAAGACGGATGAGGTCCATTGCCAAATCGATCTCATGTAATAAGGCAACACTGCCTGTTTGTTATTCGACATTAAATGAACCAATCCACATTCCACAAATCGAAATTTGTTCTCGGTTTAGAGGATTCCTTTGTCGGACCTGAGCTTGGCTAGTTGAAAGCATCCACTGCCCCAAACGAAGGCGCAGTAAGATTGGTACATGTACAAATGTACATGTAGGTGTCCCAGGGCTCGAGGATGACGAGCCATGCACAGGAGAAGGAGACGAACAAGAAAAACCTGATCATGAAGCCATGCTGTTTGCCATTGCTGACAAAACAAAACAACAAGAAATACCTGCCACAAAGAAAAATGTACTTCAAAGTACAACTTTCACACGGGGAGTCGTCAAATAACGACTCCCTGCTGGCACTTGATTGTGCGGGCACACAGAAAACAACTAAGTCTAACGTGTTACTTTCGGGCAGACTGCCTTTTTCGGAAAGTAGTTCTGGACAAACTTACTTTCGGATGGATTTTCTGTCCTCGGACCTGGGATTCGAAAATTTCACCGTGAACATTAGAATGTGTTTACCGTATGCGTTCTCACGGCTGCATCGCCAGCCCCCTGGCACCGCTAGACGTGCGACCGGATTTCCTTGTCCACGACAGTCTACATGTATGTACTACTACACATGTCAATTCTTTAAAAGAATGGTGAGGTGATTCTGATCTACTCACCGCTCACCACTAGCTCTGGAGCTGCATGTACATGTACACGTACCTTCGCATTGATCCCCAAAGGAAGTACAGTACTTTCTTCCACGAAACCAAGAGTCATGTGATTCAAGGAAACGATCCACGTTGATGTGCATCACTTTGGCAGTACAAACGTGTCACATCTTTTCAAACTGGTCCGAAAAGCCAGCAATCCTTTCGACGTTTTTTTTATCAGCCTTCCGCTGTCAAGCCGTGGATGTTTTCGAAGGGGCGTCAAGCCAACGCAGGCAGTTCGATCTGCGTGCCAGCCACATGACAATGTGGACAGCCAGAGCTACGGTGGATTTAATATTCTCTCTGGTGTGGTATACAAGTGACAACTACACTTAGCTCAAGAAAGACA